ATTAATTTACGCTTTACCATGTACATATATAGATGCGGGACTTGGGTCAACTTCGAAAAATGTACATAGGCTCTGTAAGGCTCCACATACTATTCACATATCTGTCATATATGTATGTTTCCTAGGAATACCTTATCAAGGAGATAGGTTACTTTGTCCTATGAAATGGAGTTGTGATTCTATTCAACTTAGGGATTACATATAGCTATTCCATTGTCACTCATTGATCATATAGGAAGGTGTGTTAATTGAACGATTCTTGGCGAAACAGATTATTGTGTCGCGAAAAGGTTTTTCGAGATAGTTGTATCGTACAGCAGAAATAAAGCCTCAACCGTCGAGTAGCAGAAGCAAAATGTAGTTTTTGACGAAGTTTCGGAGTCAAAAGCTATATTTGGCATTGAAGAGTAGTCGCATAGGTTCAGAGGAGAACGCTCCGTCAACGGGATGAACACTAATTTAGAGTTACTGCCGTATCGTTTCTGTCGAATCGCATCAGAAAGAAGTTCATAAGCAAATTGTATAAACTTTATAAAACTAGGATCAACCCCTCCGTCGAAATCAGACCCTGTATAGTGATGCAAGCAGGTATCTGTGCGGCTCCGCCCGATTGTCACCGGCACACTGGAAGACCGAAAAGAGAACCATTCTTTGCCGCGTCGTCGCGCGCGACGGATCGTGCCGCGGAAGGGGCGGGCGGAAAACACTATCTACTCCAAAACTCGATTTTTTTGAAACTCTACGTGAAGATGTCAGTCGATGTTCTGATCACGACATTATGACACTCATTTATGGCCCCAGCGCCACTTGGTGCCAATAGGCGCCAATATGTCGCAACCACCTTTCTCACCAAAATCGTTGAAAAGTATTAGGACTGACTGACACCCCTTCACGAGACATTAGCGCAGCTCAAAAATCTGCTGAGTTTAGGCCTGCGAGGACTACTCTGAGTGACTATCTACCCCCCAGGTTTGGCCACAACAGAGCGCAGATGATCAGAGTGCCCCTTATCATGATCAGGATATCAAGTAACACCATCTACAAAGTCTCATCGATTTCAATGGGAAAGTAGATTGCGCTAAATGGCGCCATGAAACGAGCATGATGTTCGTGATCAGAATGTCAAATAACCCCTGTACACAAGTGTTCATCAATTTTGGTGAGATGGGAGATGGCAACGGCGCTGTATTGTCGACGGGGGGCATTTCGTCACAAATCTCCCATTGTGAACTCTTGTGAAAGCTAAGTAGATCGTTAGCCACATATACCTGAAACAGTGCAACTTCGAGAAACGGCTGCTATATGGGTCGTCACATCTTATGGAAAGCCAAAATGCCCCCCCCCCGTTGACAACGCGCGGTCTGGCAACCCGTTAGACTCCTACTGGTGATATCAAATTTCCGGCTCTCAACATTGGTTCAAACATGCAACCAGGAAACTCCTCCCTCGCGGGGCGCGATGTCATTCGCCACGCCCACCAAGGCGGCCACGATTGCTCTGTCGGAGTATGTGACAAGAGAATCGTAATTTGCCGCGCTGATGGGCGTCGCGTGCGACGTCGCGCCCTCAAGTGACGATGATTCCAGGTCAGATACAGGCAACAGGCATTGAAAGAAACCTAGAACCTCAGCTTTTTCTGAATGTCTGCAGTTTCTTAGTCTACGTGAATCCTGTGCTCCGATCGACAGACTAACACGAGATATGAAAACGCCCGCCCATCGCTGCGTGCGAGTTAAGAAAACGCCGCGCCCATCGCTGCGCGCGGCGGAGCGACAAATTACGATTCTCTTGACCGTCTCCCGTTTTGGACAAGCTGAACTCAATCCCTTTGAACGCGCCGATCTTCTGTTTTTGTCTGCATCTCGTGCATGGCACTCTATAGGCCGCTGTTACTTCGACGTTCCAGCTTCTCACGGATTATAAGTAGCTCACCCACCCCGGAGTCCCCTCCCCTTGGAAAAACCCGTTTCCTGGCTCGCCATATGTTTCTTGCACGTTTCGATGCTTTGGCAGCCGCTGCCCTCTATCCGTCTGCGTCACAGGGTTTCGTAACAGGACCATGCACAAAAGTTCAAGATGTCACGTAACCCTCGTACACCCGGACACACCCAGATTGGTGATCGGTTGAGTTCGAAGTGGGGGTGTAAAATGGTGTAACAGTGAGGAAAAGCAGCAAAACAATCAGGAAGCCATAACAATGAGTTCTGGCCCTGCTAAATGATGTTGGGCCACGGACAGGTGAGCTGCTTCCATGCTAAGGTTTCGAGTTAGGATTGAAGGTTTAAAAAGACCCTAGAATGACGGCTGCGACTTTAACGGCAGTCGTTCTGCTCTTAAACACTCTCACAGACACTTTCATTTCAAGAACATGGTCCAAAAGGACAATACTGTACAATTGTGTCTTTCGTTGAGGTCAACTTAAAGTGATTTTAATCATCGTCGTCATCTTGTTTCGAACGGAAGTGATCAGCAATCCATCGCGTCTTGACCTGCACTTCCTCCTGGGCAAGATTGAAGCACATGGCGAGCAGTGCCATACCAAACAGTAGGTATACGGAAGTGATCACTAATTTCTCCTGAGCGTCTTTATTGTTGCCAACGGATGCGCCCGGGAAGCGATCGCCGAATCCTGAACATCCACGGAAACTCACGACTTTCTTTGTGCATCCAAAGTTTTCCTACCTATTGTAGTAAGTGAGATGTAGCAGAAGTAGAAGCTCTCGAGGAATGTCCAGCCCTCCCATAGCTTGAAAAGAATTGTTCCTGTAATTGAATTGATCCTGAGTTTTATAGAACAAGTGCAATGCTCTCAGTAAGAACCCACCAGCAATAAGATAGGCGAACATTGTGAGTACGACCAGCGATAAAGGGACGCTGATCTTCTCCAGCTGCGCCTGGGCCGTCTCACGCACCTCTAATTGCTCCATCTCAACACGAGCCGTGAGGAGATCCTCGACATCAGGACCACCTAAATATCCCTTTTGAGCTTCAAGAAGTTAGGAGGGTAATGGAAGGAGTGTCCTACCAACGGCAAACGAATCAATAGAAGAGTCGTTCTTCACCCGGTGGGCTCTAGTGAGCCGAGAAACAAGCGAATTTGCACGGCGAATTTTGGCCGCCTGAAATTTTTTGCTGTTCTTTTGAAGATTTTACCTGTGATTTTCATCATTCGTCTACAACATTACCTTCCTTTTCTTATGCCATAGTATCAATCGGAATTTGAGGCGAATCGATTGTGCGTAGAGGAACCTACAAAAAGGCAGGTATAAAATTGCACGAAGGGAGCTGCTGGAGTGGAATAGGGCAGGTGCTAGTCATTTTCTTTAGTGGAAGCACCATGCAGCTCCTGACCCCCTGAAGATACAGGGCATGTGACGAGGCGCGGACTGGAGCGTTGCCAGGGCGACCTCTTCCGCCAATGATGCCATAGTGAGTCTGCAGCGATTGGCGTGAAAGGCTCCGCTGGCCGCGCTCCAGTTCACACCCCTATCCACGCCCCATCGATTGCAGGGATCCTGTATAGTCCCACTGAAAAAACTAATTTATGTGCACCGTTGACCACCCTCTCAGCTTTGGAGCCACCTAACCGTCCAGCACTGGCCACTCTTGGGGATCAGAATGGCAATATCCAAGTAAAGCGGTCCTACAGGCCAGTAAGGGAAGTATGAAGCGACACGCTCGCACTCTTCGCTGAGCTTTGCGCCCTTTGACCTACGCGATCCATACCCCCGCGGGGGCGCCGGCGGGGTGGTCCCTACTGCAACCCCTAAAATCAATAATTATACCAATGCGCGGCGATCGGCGGGGACCCGCATGTTCCGGCCTGGTACTTTGAAGAAGGATTTGATCTACTTGATCAATCCAGGGGGGCCTTATAGCTGTTCGTCCCTACCATTGCAGTAATTTTTTCAAATTGGCCCATTTCTATTTCTCGGCGGTGACCCGGTCCTCACAATTATGTGTGTCCCCTTCTGGCCCTTTATCCCTGATGGCGGTTGGCCTGTTCTGCCCAATTTCAAAATTCTTTCCTTTAGGCCTTTACACATTGTTCACAATGGCATATGGTCCCTAAAGCCCTTTGACCCGTGAAACTCTGAGCTGAAAACTCATATAAAAGCGCCGCTCAATCTCTAGGCTCAGAGTGCCCGGTAGAGTTCTACATCAGTAAGAGGTTGGTTTTAGGTCTGTTACGATTTCGTTCCTAGATTTCCCTACCTTGATTTTCCTTTGTAAGTTGATCTTGGTTTTGGCGTGAAGTTTTCTACGATATATGTGCTTCCGACTTTACAGGACTCCGAAGAAGGCGATTTTCGCCGAAACGTTAGTCTAATAAACGTCGTTACCAATCTCGGAAGGCTAAACGATCAAGACTCGAAACGGGAAGCAACCTACCTGAATATTTTAGCCATTACATCACCAATATTTGTGAGGAAAAGAAGCATAAGTGGGATGCCAATAATCGCGTAGAGCATCGTCAACGTCTTGCCGATGTACGTCTTGGCTGCAGTGTTCCCGTAACCTCTGAAGAAGTTCAGGTTTGAAATTGGTAATGGGATAAATAATCGCGTGGAATAGCGGTCTGTATCTTCCCTGTTCGAAAAAATCGCTCACCTGGTCGACATCCTCCAACTTCCTTGATCTTTCCTGCCATTTTTCTAATCTTTCAATCTCGCTACTACTAGAGAAGAAGCCTACAAACGGAACGACCTCCTTCCAGCAGGCAGGTTACGATCACGACATATTCGCCGACCAGAGGGTCTACAAGATAACACCATGGACGCTGGAATCAAATCTCGTATGAGCGGCTGGGTGTTGTTTAGAAGATGCAAGCTGCGGTGACGTGCCATTGGAAATGGTGTCACATGCGCAGCATTCGCACCAGGGGGATACAAGAAAAACGTGGTAAGTGCAAAAGCATGTCTTAGACGACTCAGGCAATGAAGCTCCTGCTTGCCTCTTACTGCCGCTTCCTTTTTTCGTCTCCTGAGTACGTAAGAACTAACACACCAGAAAAAAACCGTGAACCACTCAATCACGGAAGTTTACCGGGGGTATTTTTTAATTAGGATGATAAACTGTGTCCAAAGGGTAGGTGGCGAAAGGAGAGTCCTAGCAGCGAGACGAGGAAGAATAGTACAGTCGTCATCCGACACTTGCATTTAGGCGGCCTAAGTAGCGACGCGGCGGCCAGCGCGTCAAGACGGCGCGGCACACTCGGGGACCAGCCGCCGGATGTTTCCGGCTTATTCTTGAGTCATTTCTCACCTAATTTTGTTTTTTGCTATTTTTTTTCAAGGTAAGTTGCTTTAGTGCCTTATGAAGTATGTTCGGATTAGGACTCTTTTTTTATTTGTGGATCAGAGTGTTTTTGCGATTTTTTTCAGAGTTCAATTCTTCAATTGTCTACTTGTCTGTTTAATTTGTCCGCAAAAGATCAGAGCGACATCTCAATTCATAGTTCACTTGTGAAGACAAGGAAATGAAACTTCGAGAAAAGCAGCCAAAACAGTGAAAAGTAGGGAGAAAGTGATTAGCCAGGCTGGAAAGCTAGTGACACGCCGCAACCGCGTCGCGACCCTTGGCTGCCTAATCAGGTGCCCGGATGGCAAACTCTGTCAGAGTTGCATCGCGAGAAGCGCGCCTCCATAATGGCCATTGTGCATAAAGAATTCCACCAACTCCACAAGTCTTCCATCCTCTCAAGGTCGCTTTTGGCAAAATTTTTACTTTACTCACGCCACTCTGGACCTAAGAAGCCTGCCTTTTCCCTGGGTGTATACCTATACGTGCGTTGGCTCTACATCTCTACACAGAGCCGAATGTTGATGTTCGATCTGCTCTCACAAGGGAGCAGCTCTGAATCGCAAGAAGTCTACCGGTCGTTAAATTAATCAAGTAGCGAAGCAGGGTTTCCTCCAGAGTTCGCCATCAACGCGAACTCTGAACGTAGCCGTAGCGAAATTTGAGATTGCTGAAGATTTCAAACCTATTGTGGTGATGACAGTAAGTGAGTAGAGGAATGCGCCTGTGAACGTCCATTGGGCGGCCTGCTTGAACTCCTTCCCATCATACCCTTTTCGTATCGCCTGCATGCATATCTTTTGGAATTTCTTCACCTAAAATTGTGTGTTGTAGGTAGATGGTGAGTAGTTTCGATGAATGAATGAAACTAACCTCCTTATAGACGGCTGACTTCCACTGATCTTGATTGAGCCGATTCACACGAAACGTGGCATTCCACACGACGTCAACGGCTCTGCTACGAGCTGCCGTCACGGACGATTGAATCTGAAGGAAACTACCATCGATATCACTCCTTATAATCAGACTAGTTGCTCAGCTGATGTACATACAAGCCTTCGTCATAACCACGATACATTAGGAATTCCATTAAACTCTTCCCTCAAGAACAATATTTCACATAACCTATAGCGAAACGTCATGAGTCTGAGAGAGCGGAAGGCGGTTTGAGTAGTGTAGTGGCTGGCAGACTAGCCCCATAAAATTGAGGTCCGGATTTGCGTAGTGGCTGGAGTTATGCTTTTTGTAC